ATAAACTGCCGCCTTGTACATTTCCTTGAAACAAACAATATGCTCGACCCGTATCAGTGCGGGTTTCGAGAGGGTTGGTCCACCACCGACCACCTTGTTCATATTAAGGCACAGATTACAGATGCTTTTGTCCAAAAGCAAAAAACTTCCTTTCTTTGTTCCTTGACATCGAAAAGGCATATGATACAACGTGGTGCTTTGGAATATTAAGAGACCTGCCCCCCCTTGGCATGCGTGGCAGAACGTTTACTATAACGAAAGTTACTTGTCAAACCGGACATTCCGCGTTCGAGTAGGCAGTGTGCGTTCACAAACATTTGTCCTAGAAACAGGCGTGCCGCAAGGTGGCGTAGTTAGTTGCAGACTTTTTATCATTAAAATGAATTCTTTGCGCTTGTCCATTCCTCGCAATATGTTTTATTCTACATATGTCGACGACGTCCAGCTTGATTTCATACCTTGTTATCTGGCCATGTGCGAGTGGCAGGTCCAGCTTGGTCTGAACAAAGCCTCCATTTGGGCAGAAGAAAACGGGTTCTGACTGAATGCACAGAAAAGCACGTCCGTCTTTTTCTCCAGGAAGAGAGATCTTCATTCCGAACTTGATATTCAACTGCATGGGCAACGTCTTGCTGTTAACACTGAACATAAATTTTTAGGCCCAATATTGGACACTAACTTGATCTTCATACCACACATCAAGTATATAAAAAACAAGTGCAGAAAAGCCATAAATGTTCTAAACGTATTGTCACGTACTACATGGTGAAGTGACAAGAAGTGTTTAATGAATTTGTATAAAGCCTCTTACGTACCTGCCTAGACTATGGGGCAACAGTATATTAGTCGGCGACACCTACTGCCCTTAAAATGCTAGATGCTGTTTATCATCTTGGCATCCGCCTCTCTACGGATGCTTTTCGCACTAGCCCCGCAAAGAGTCTGTACGTGGAATCAAACGAATGGTCGCTCCACCTACAGAGATGTTACATGTCTTTTAAATATTATCATAATGTAAACGAAGACAAGGATCATCCATCACATTCCAAAATCAGTGACATGTGAAGCCTTGCTGTGTTTGAAAAATGGCTTTCTATGAGACAGCCCTACTCACTCCATGTAGGGGACTAGCGAAGAAAACCGGTGTGCCACTCGAACACCGTTTGATGGCTCCTGTAGTATACCTGCCACCGTGGCAGTGGCAGGTGATAGATTGCGACGTGTGTTTCTTGGAGGTTATGAAGCATGCACTAATTAGACATATCGAGACATACTTCATTGAACTACAACATAAATACACATGACCAGAGTTCTTTTCAGATGCTTCAGAGTCTAACACTTCTGTCTCGTGCGCAGCCGTCGGTCCGTCGTTGTCAGAAGCCGGCGTTCTGCACTCTGATGGAAGCATTCTTATCAGTGAAGCTTATGCCATACTTGCGGACGTTAAACACATCAAACAAATAAAACTACAGAAGGCAATAATATATACAGATTTCTTAAGCGTGGTAAAAGCTCTGAAAACACCTAAAAAGCAAAAAACCTTGTTTTTGTCTCGCTTTATTCGCTGGATATACTCAACCAAGCATGTCATAGTTTGTTGGGTGCCAGGACACTGTGAAATACAAGGCAATGTTCTGGTGGACCAGCTAGCTGGATCCGCCAACAAAACCGCTATCAACACTCCGAGACCTATTCCTGCACTCGACTTGAAAGCTTTTCTAAAACCAAAGCTCAGGTGTTATTGGCAGAGCACATGGGACACACAAACAGGTAATAAATTGCATGTCATCTAGCCGCAACTTGGTCATTGGCCGCCAGTATCACAATCACGCCACGCGGAAGTAATCCTCACAGGGTTAAAAACAAGACATACACACGCAACTAATTCATTTATTTTATCTAGGGGCGATCCACCTTTGTGTGACAGATGTGGAGAAGCACTCACCGTACTTCACATTCTAATACGGTGTAAAGAATTAGACACGCTGAGAAGACAACACTTTCCGTCACCCTATCGACAATAGATACCACTCCATCCTGCAATGTTCGTCGGTAGGGAACCACTTTTTACTCATAAATCATTGTTAGCTTTTCAATAGAAATTCCGACTTTTAATATCATATACAAGGGCATTCCGTAGCACGAACTCTTCAGAGAGGTCTCCGTTGTGTTGGCTACACTCAACAAAGCACTTGCCTCACGGCCCTTGGAAGCAAGGGTGTGAACGAGTGAGGCACTTGTGCTAATGCCACACATGTCCACGATCGTTTTTATTACAACAAAGTTTTGTCATCCATTAACACCATACACCTTTCACGACACGACCATGATTTTATTACTTCTATCTATGTTTTTACCCGCCTTAGTGCGAGGAGTTTCACGGCCCTTATACAGCCTCTTATCACAATCACTGTCCATATCTCTAGTCAATCGAAATGGCGCTCTTTGGCTATCGATTGGCCCTTGTGTCGCAAAGCACCAAACATCATCACGACCATTTCAAAGGGATGGCTCTCCCGAAACAAGGTGGTGCCCCCTTCCCTCTCAAAAACAAGTGTGGTTACGCGCCTTTCCGACAGCTCTTCCTTATACAGCAGTCAGCCCTGAGCTGGCTGGTGACAGATCTGCCCTTGCATTTCCCGCTCCGTCCCTCTCTCTCTAATAGAAAGAGCTGTTTTAAAAAGTAATCTCGCTGCTGGTCTTCCTTCAGCTTATCGGGTAGACTTAAGCCATAGTGGGGCGGTGCTCGTAAGCCCCAGGCTGCCTTAGAGGTCAGCTCATGAGTCGGACGGCGTGTGGTCCCACCGGCCACCCGTGGAGGCTCCGTTTGTGTGTCTTCTCGCACATAGTCCTCCTTCCATCTATCGTTAGTTGAAAGAAATGGCATCATTGTAGATGAAGTTCGAGTTTGGAATCTGTTGCGCTACAATAATGACCCTTCTGCTCACTGTCCTGATGGTAAAACAAATTACATCTTGAAATGCTGTTTTATAAGGGTTCTCATAATGATTGAATAATTTAGCTGGTCAATAGTAGCCATATTGCTTTGTGACCAAAAAATGACAGATGCAGTTCCTATATTTACCAGCGGCTCCCATAACCTGGTAATTGTAAGCGATTATCAACCCCTATCTTTGACGCCAAACGTTGGAGCATCTTATTTATTCGGCATGAATTTTGCGTGAGCTTGCAACTTGCCACTTAATTTATTCTTACTACATGAATGTCAGCCGCATTTAACAACAATATTCAGATAAGCGTAGTTTTTATTCGTTTATTAGAGCCGTTTGACGTACTCCTGCTTAGCATACATTTATCTAAGCTCATTTGTTGGTCTTGCCGATTCACTAAAAGAGTATATTTAGAAAAGGAACCAAAAAGTAGCATAAGAGGGCTCAGAATCAGAAACAACTGACGTTCTGTCGCGTGTATTTCTGGGTTCAGTCTTTTGACTACCGACATTGCTTGTTTTTATCAATAATATTAGTGTCTCAATTCGAATTTCAGACAGTATGAGAATGATTGTGTTGTGTATCACCCTGCGTCGAGTGCAGGTTATGTGAGTGTTTTGCAGCCTTTTCTTTAAAAATAATTTTTGGTGTGCGAAGTGGAAAATGTAAACAAAAAGGACAACGTGTCTAGTTCGTACTCTTTACACAATGTACTAATGCAATGCGGTGTTAAGTACCTCGGCATTTCCATACCGACGAAAAGACTGTACATCACACTTTGACAACACATTCGCCAAAGCATATTGATTATTACGCCTTTTTCACAGAAGTGTCAAGCAAGCGCCCACCGCATTAAATCAAACGTTGTGCATTACCAACGTTAGGCCTTGTGTTGGAATACACATGCAGGGCATGGGACCCCTTCACAAGTGTTTTACAAGATAAGTGAGACCATATAAAAAAGAAAAAGTGTTATAGCTGTGAGATTCGTCACGAAAAAATCTGATTACAAAACACGAGGCTTTCACATTCGAACTGGAGTGAACCTTACGCACTAAAAGCTAATCAGGCTAGCGGTTTTACATGACATCAACAGCGGTAACACGGGAATCTACAACAAAAAACTATATATAAAGAAGCCTCATCATTAGTTCAAAAACATGAAAATTTATGGAAGTGGGGCTCTACAAATGTCGTAGTAAAGTTTCTATATGTTCGTTATTTTTATGGCACATTGGAAGAGAAGAAACTGCTTCTCGATAGCATGGCATCTGCATGAAACGTTTGTTCTGCAATAGAAACTTTCTATAAATCCGTATAAATATGATCACAAGTGTCCTTACAAAACAAATTCATCTAATTTCATTGATATCTAAGGTTGAACGTCCCCAAACCATCCTATGATTATCAAACACGTCGTAGTGGCGCACTCCAAAAATTTCGACCACTCGGGGTGCACAGAAATCTCAGCACACTGTCAATAGCAGTTTCGCCTCCACCAAAAATGAAGCCCCCGAAGCCGTGATTTGATCCCGCAACTTGCGGGCCAGCAGCCGTGTGTCTTAGTCACTTGACTACAGCAGCGGGGCGTGTTTATTAAAAAGCTTTACCCTTTTTATTGTATTATTATAATGTATCATTGCGATATTTGTATATGCTCGTTTTAATACTGCTGACTTGCCACATTTTATAGTTGTTTTATTTGTGGCTGTGACGAAGTTGCCTTATATTTTTGTTGCTGCTGTACAACCACCTACGTTGTTGTGAACAAAAATTTCATTGTTTAATGTGTCTTGTGACCATGATTTTGCGTGCCATCCACTGAACGAGATAAAGTGGCCTATTTGGTGGCAGTTTTTCATTCCGAGCCGATGAAGTAAGTCGATGCTACAGTTTCGAAGGATAAGTTAGGAAATTACACGCGCTCTTCTAAGGCCACCGGCGATGTGACGTGAAGCCCTTCTCATTTGAGAGGAATCATTTCTGATGCTCTATTTTGTGCGTCTTCCATAGCTGTCGTTTATTGTCGTGTGCAGCCTCCTTAAAATGATGCTACGTCGCCCGGCTGCTACCCGCTCTCCACGGGATTCTGGTACTCGCGGCCTGCCCGATTTGTGGGCCACCGCCAAGCGAGGGAAAGTGGCGTGTGGAGGGGAAGGCTGCTTAAAAGCGCTCAGCCACTGCCGCCAAGCCGCCATCCGCGCCGAGAGCAATATGGACGTTGGGTTCGCCTGGATGCTCTTGAGCGTCGTGGCCCACACGACGAATGCAGCGGCAAGACCACAGGTCGACTACGACTACGTCATTGAGAACAACCAGACTGACGGTGGTAAGTAGACCATTCACGATTTACACCTGCTACTCTCAAAAGCCAACTTGTCCCGTATATTCTGTATAATTGTACGTCCTTTTTTTGCCTGTTGACACAAGACTTACAATAACTCATTTGCCTCTGGAAGCTTTTATGGTGTCATCAACCATTCTGATGAAAACGAGAGACCTCAAGTACAAACCAGAGGAACGAAAAGACTCGTCTGAATATGAAACGTATAGTATAGGAAGTCAAAACTGATCTGTTCCACATTCCACTTTGAGAGCTCCACTAGCCTGCCGCGGTTCCTTTGTGAGGAGTAACGTTTCTTCCAGACTTTCCGTAATGAATATATTGGATAACCAATACAGTAATGACCTAGCTTTATGTTTAAATTTCTTAGCGCTAGATCGCATCAACACGGTCACAGGAGCATGATTCTACATTGTGTAGGCAGTGCGTACTTACAGTTATGGTAAAAACTTGTGGCCTACTATAAACCGCAATGGCAATTGGCATCTACCATTATAACAATAAACGTGTGTTGTTGTCGAAGGACGAGCTAGAAAAGAACGAACCTAAACGCTGATATAGATCCCTGTTTATGTCACCGTGGTGGCAGTTTGTCTAGTATGTTCATTCACAGTTGGTATATTTGTGTATGTCATCAAATAGGCGTCAAAAAGTGTACATGCAAAAAGGGTTCCAAACAATCACTTGGAATCAGTTAATTGCTCTACGTTTCATTATTTTGTCTGACAGAACATGAACTGGATGACACAATAAGACCTTATTCGCTGCACTCGAACGTTTTATCCGAAGTGGCTTAGAGCAATAAAATTTCGCAAACTTGTTCAAAACCTCTAACCGTGCAACTGATAAGTCATTTCAAGCATAAATAGAGGAGCTCTGAACAAAACTCGCGATATGAGGTGGCCTGTACTCCAAGCTAATCTTGGTGAGAGGAAGGCACATAGACTCACTGAAAGCGGCGTCATTTACCTGCTCTTCGACTACCTTAAAGGTCCCGTGATACACACCAATCTCGAAGGCGCGATTTTCTTGCCCTCACTGCCCTTCCTACAAGGTCTGGCTTCTTTTTTTCGTAAACACATGGTAAAAAAGCAACAAGCATTCATAGTGTCAAGATTTTACGTTTTTCTACAACAAGCTGGTATGTACGCTTGCGCTATGGCAAAAGCAGAAAATTAGGTTAAATAAATTTTATCGCCTACATTAATCATGCAAAACCAGGAAGCATTGAATTCAATTACATTGACTTTATCTCTTTTGTTTGCAACTAAAAGGCAGCAGAAGCTAAAGACAATGTGGCCTGACAAAGACTTCTGCTCCTACCACAGTTCGGCATGCAGGCCGTACGTAGCACAATTCAATACAAAATATACTGTACATTCGTAGGAGACTTTCTGGTCAAGAAAACAAAAGAACATGTGTGCAACAAAATAGAAAAGCGAGATCAAAAACAATATGTCTGCAAAGAAAAACTAACAAGAAACGCTTCATAATGAACTGATAGGTTAGTTTGCCACAGTCAACAAATTAAATTTGCAATGAAGACACGGAAGTTGAAAATACTCACAGCCCCCATGTCAGACAAACTCAATATTGTGTGAAATGAGCAATGTTTTGAATGATTTATTTGAGGCTTCTGTAAATTCATCGTGAAATTTGTGTATTTTATATATAGAGTAGTGAAGGTGCTTGATAACTTTGTAACTGTTTATCGTATTTCGTTGATATTTTTTATGACCTCGTATGGTGTTGCCGAGAGCTGTAGCGCGGGTAGGTGGATGCATCCATGATATAATGTGTCCTGCTTTGTTTGATAATTCGTTTTAACTCGTAATGGGTCACCTCATTTGCCTTTATACAGAGTACTTCATAAAATCAGGCTGCGTTTTAAAGTTCTGTAAATGTTCACGATACCTTGAAAAGCCCATAGGGCTCTTTTTTTGCAGTACAATCAGCCAAGTATATTTTTTTTGCGTGGTTGTTTCCCAAATTATTATGCAGTACATTAGTCTGGAGTAAGATAGTGCGCATTACAAGGAAATTTTCAGCCAAAGAGGAACCAGAGCACTCAATCTATATAAACAACCAAAAGTTTTACTTAATTCTGTCACAGTTTTGTCCACATGTACGTTTCAGGCCAGATATACCTGAAATGACCCTTCTAAAAATTTTGGCGTTAAACCTTCTCGATTATTCTGTCATAAAAAACAATGGTCGCGTTGAAGTTTCGCGGTTTATTATTTGAGGCAAATACCATATATTTACTTTTGGAAGTGTTCATTTGTAATTTGTTTTATCGTAACCGCGAAGAAAGTTGCTTCATATAGTAGTTCACCTTTGACTCGAGATCTGGTATTGTGGCAGCTTTAAAGAAAATCTTCGTATCTTCTGCGTACATAAGCAATTGTGGAAAGTCGAGCATACCGACAAGTCATTCATTTTCATGATAAACATCAGAGATGAAGAATTGAGCCTAGTGGGACACCCGTAGTGATCTCCACGTAAGACGAAGTATCATTATCTATGATGGCGTATTGATATCGCTTTGTTAGGAAATAACGTAATATTTTGAGCGCGTTACCTCGTACACCATGCTTTTAATGTTCATCAATTATTAAGTTGTGGCAAACCGAGTCAAATGCTTTTCTGAGATCAACAAATACACCTAATGTATACTTTTGATTTTCAATATTTGATATAATTTCACGCCTAATATTAGGAAGAGCTTCTTCACAAGATTTTTTTTAGTACCCTATCGTATGTCACCAATTACGCTCTATTCATTAAAGAATTTCTGTAGTGTAACGTTCAAGGCACTCTCAAAGACTTGATAGGACAGGTAAGACAGAAATGGGCCGGTAATTTGTTATGAGATGTTTATACCCTTCTTTGTGTATAGGGCACTCTTGTGATATTTTCAGTAGACTGAGAAATATGCCGCTTTCTAACATCATGTTTATGATATGAACTAAAACGGGTGTGATAATGTCCGCAATATATTTACTGGTGCTGGTTTAAAGTTATCTTGACCAACAGATGCATTGCTTTTCATTTTAAGAATTATGTTCAGCACGTGTAACAGGCGTAAGTATAATCGAGTTAGAGAAGCTGGCACTGTTCACGATAGGGTGGTATGCTCCTCCTTGTCAGCATACTGGGCGCTAGAAACATAAGATTCATTTAAAGCAGCTGTTGCCTCCGTACCTGTCAACACTCTCGTGGGCATTTTTTTTTTGTTGATGCCAGTGCTCTTTGGGCTCATGGCATTGAGGTCTATGACTTCATTCCAAAAATCTGAAGAGTCATTCTTTATCTTATCTAATATTTGTGTGTAGCACCTTGTTTTCGCCTGCTGCAGTTCAGCATTCACCTTATTTCTGAATTTCCTGAAGTCGCTAAGCAAAGCAGCACTTCTGCATTATACAAACTTGTGATACAGTTGGTTTTTTCTTGTTATTTTTATTAAGTTGGCATTATACCAAGGTTTGCGTATATTCTTGTTCTTTAGGTTGTATGGTTTTAGGGGAAACGCTCGGTCATAACAGTGTCATAACTTTTTTTTTTCAAAGAAGAAATCGTACGCTGCATTTTCGTCTTGCTTTTTAAACACACATGACCAGTTTGTTGACAGTATCAAAAATCAGAAAGTTTCCAATGCTGTGGCATAAAAACTCCATGCCAGTATTTCCTTTATTCCTTCCCCTCGCTCACGAACGTGAGGAATGAAGCAGAATAAAGGCAGATGATCGCTTATCTCAGCAGATAGTAGCCCCACAACGCAGTCAGTTGGGCTGTGTTAGTTTTACATATATCTACAAGTCTACAAGTTTCTATAAGGAGAATGGTAGGTACCGTAATTACGTTTGCACACATGAACAAATTAATGAATCCGGAAAGCTGTTTAGATGATATGACATCAGCCAACATACTTATGATTACGTCACCCATTATGATGAAGGGGGGAGACAAATGACTGAGGAAATAAAAAGTTGTTATGAGAACTTGAAAAACGCGAGCTTGTTTCCCAATGGGAGCTGATATATAAGCACAAATGTGACATATTCTAAGCGTACCATTATACTTTTTACATTGCTAAGTACATAAGTGAATTCTTGAACTGGCTCATGTCAAAGGCATTGTTTACCATAGACTGCCACACCACCACCTCTGCTCTTTGTGCTTACTAGACCGTGGTATTTATAGGAGTCAAAATAGGGGGGTGGTCATTATTCATAGCGAGCCATGTTTTACAGTACAATAAGATGTCGGAATGAGTGCGTTCATGACTCAAACAGGCAGATCAGTTTGTCCTATTGGTTTTCGATACTCCGCACACTAAGGCAGAAAAGGTTAGGTAGTTTGCTTGTAGGAGGAAATGATTTATTGAACGATGAAACATTGTAATATGCACTCTCCATTTAATAAACAAACTTCACTAATAAGCGTTAGGCTCACGCTTTCACTTTTTCAGCGTCTTCCAAGTTGGCGAGTTTAACAACTGGCGAGTTTTCTTCTTTGCGTCCTAACACTTTGCTGCCAGCCTTCCACATGAACCGCCATCTCAGTTCTTTGTTCCTTTCTATGGCAGCAGTGCCAACAATTTGTTTACCATACCGAGGAAGGTGTTTGTTGATGAACATCTTTGAGTATAATTGAAACACCAGTGCTGTCGTGTACAATTCGCTTTCTTAGCTTCGCTGAGAACTGAATTCCTTTTGTTTCTGCGAACAAACCGAACGATATTGTTTGCCTGGTCATGTCTAAGAGTAGGCACTCGGTGACAGATGTCAATATCAGCCTCCGAGACCTCTGCCTTAATAAACTCTCCCATTTGCGACACTATGGTTAGCGGTTCGCCTTCAATTAAGATGCCCTTTCTTTCAATGTTAACGGCGCGTTGGTGTTGTTCTAGTTTCTCAATTTTTCATGAAAGCTGAGCATTCTCGACGTGAACATCTTGGTTTATTGTTGAGACCTGCTGTATT